ATCATGATCTCCGAGGATCTCCGAGGCGCAAAGCAACACCAACACTGGCAACAGCCTTCCATTTATTTTTGGAAGGCCTGGGTCCAAAGAGGGGAAGGTGGGCGCAACGACAACGAGTAGATCTACGAGACAAGTCCCACGGTAAAAATTAATAACAACAACAACAGACGAAGAATGTCGATGCTGAGATCTGTAAGATACTTGACAAAGCTGTCTAACTCATACTTCCCTGTAACAGTGAGTTACTGCAATCGAAGCAGCAAAGCAGCACACCACCCGACTTGGGTAGGTCAGAAATATTGAAGATAACAATGATACGGAATCATCCGAATCATGGCGAATGGGAAGCTTTGCAAAACCATTTTGCACAAATCCGGACGCCGGTATCCTGCATGCACAGGCGCTAGGCAGTGCAGTGCATGCAGATCGCGGCCCCGCGATAGCTTTGTGCGATGTATGTAGACGTAGATTGTACTCGTTCGCCTTGACGGATATGTCGTGTGATCTTGACTCGAGTGTTGACACCGACCATCCTGTAACTAGTGTAAGGTCCCATGTCCGTTGTCTAGCATGGCATGGCACCGTAGTTTTTTTTGGCAGGTAGCGAAAAGACTGCGAGTGTGAGTATGACTCTTCACTACTACTTACACTGAGATCTAGGCTAAGTCCTCGCGGCACTCACGGCATGTTAGTGAGTTTACAATCATGCACATGGACATGGGATATGGGGTCCAACACCCAAAAGAGGGACCGACAAAACACGAGTCCAGAAGTATTCAGTTTTCCTTTTCAAAATTGGCTTTGGAGAATTCCCTCCCCTCATGTGTGTACTGTGCAGTACCTCTGTACAACTGAGTAGGCTCGCATACGAGAGAATCTTGCGCTAAACGCACTTAGCGGAAGGGTTCTGTAGGAATGGATGCGGAGGCAAGGTACCATCTATTTTCGGAGGAGGACACCGGTGAACGTGAAGGGTACCGTGAAACTCGCAACAACTCCGGTAGCGACCACCAGTTGTATTCCATTAACGATGGTGGTCGAGCAAGTGAGTCTGAAAACCTTGCCAGGTATTATTATTATTGTTACAGCATCCAGCGGTCCGTGGAGTTACTGCGGAGCTAAACTAGAGATTGGATAATAATTCATTCAGTCACTCCATGTTTGTGTGAAACCAAACACGTCAAATTATTTGCATTTCTTATGCATTGCATCCTACCATGTAACACTAACACTAGTAACCGTACCACCACTTCCGCACCGGCGGCCAAGCGCAAGCTACAGCTACAGCTAGCTGTAGCTGGAATCCCAATGCACAGTCATGATGTACAGGCACTGCATTTTTCTGAAAACCTACACAAAGTATAATAATGCAGGGCATAGTCTCTTTTTACCCACAGAGAAAATTACACTTGTACTTGTAGTGCAGACTAATGATTTTGACATGACTACAGAAAAACGGCATTCATTTGGGAGTCGCTAAAAACATGACACTGTACAGTAACTACCTGCAGCGACAACCACTTTCCTTGTCATGGACGCGTTCCCAGTCTACATAGCCTGGATAAGGCGACCACTGGCACAACGTGCCCCTGGATGACTACATTGTAGCTTACCTGTCCATGTACACAATTCACTGTTCATACCCGCAGTGCAACAAGAAGAGGGAAGATTGCATGACAGCTCTTGGTGAGCATGGGAAACATGGTTGGGAGGTCAGCGTCGTGCTTGTTAATCACCATTAAGTCGGAGACACGGCCGCACCGTTGCTATTTACGCACGGCACATAGCATAGGTGTATGCAGTATGAGGTGCTGATCAAAATGATAAAAATTGTAATCAGGCCAAACTAAAGAAGGTGTGTGGTTCGACTCACCCGACCGACCGTACAATTTCAGCCCGACCGTAACTTTTTTTCGGCGGGCTGTCGTGTGACTGACGTAGATCTACGTGGACTGAACACGTCCACGTCTACGTGCTGTGCGGCGTGAGTCTGCGGACGCAGGCGCTAGGCGGCTCCTTTTGGACTTGACTTGTACTGTTGTAGTTGTACTGCAGTGCAGTGCAGTGAGTGGTACGACTGCTGCCTTGTGCTGGTAGTAGAGTCTACTCGATACGCGTATACAGTGTATTTACATGTACTAAAAATATATATTAAAAGAAAAAAATCCGCCCGCCCGCCCGTAAAAAAAATGTCCATGTTAGTCGAACCACACACCTTCTTTAGTTTGGCCTCACAAAACTAAAATCACAAGTATATGACGTGAATGTTGTCACGTCACATACTAAACCTGGATACGAGGGCCAGAAGCCCCCCCCCCCCCCCCTCCCGAGCAGTCATTTTAGACAGGTTTCACTGCACGTCATGAGTTCTGATTCACAAACCCATTATCATAGTGAGTGATTTGAATCATAAACTACATGTATATTCGGACACCCTCTCCACCAATGCATTATTCATCAAGTGAGGAAGCTTCCAAGCGCCAAACCAGCCATATAACATTACAAATGGTCTACTGGGACGCTCCTGATCATTCTGAAACCTGAGTACACGATGAACATGTTCACTGACCATTTCACATACATGTTCACTGACCATTTCACATACATGTTCACTGACCATTTCACATACATGTTCACTGACCATTTCACATACATGTGCATGCACCTCTAAACCATCATGATTCTCCTGATCTTATTTGCTCATGTTCTGTTTTTTTTTTCAAGTTTTCTTCTCTTTATTACACTCAGGCTGGAAACTCTCATGCTGATGTGCACACATGTACAGCACTTGCCAACAAAATCCGGCCAATGCTGCATGCATCGTAGTCGTCTGCCATGTGCCGCACTGGCTGGATATTTTGGCGAGTACTGTACATGCATATATGTATGGCATTTCAAGCTCAATCTTGCCATCGCCATGATTCTGATGTTACTGTGCAGTACTTCCATGCTCTAGCTGATTTGGTCATGTTAAGTCCCCTCACCTACCTCGGGGTGACTGACCGAACCTATCGCATCACCTCCAGCAAATCACAGAGCACCTTTAGATCGGATGAAATCATAAGTTGTCGAAGTCCGAGTGTTCTAACTGTGAGATTAGTGCAGTTTACACTAAGCCAGATAACTCTGACCTGGGCCACATTCATATTGCTGAATCCAATGCGGAGATGAAGCTGGCAATTCAAATCTATCTTGGCTTAGAAGATAGTAGCAGTATACTTGAGAAGTATTCCACTAAAACTAAGTGAAGCGTGTGTGCATGCGTGCGCAAGCGCGGGCACACACACACACACACACACACACACACACACACACACACACACACACACACACACACGTTGCAGATTTCATATGGGTTGGCTACGTGCAGCTCTGATATTTGTACTAATATCCACTCACGGTGTTCTCCTTTTCTGATTCTTGCATGATACTTTTCAACACCGCGTACGTACATCGGACAGCATCACCAGAGTATGGGCCAGATGGAGAACCCTTGCAGCGGCCGACAAGCGCTCGAGTTTTCGCTCAGCAAGAGAAATGGCAAGCAATGTACCAGGTAACCACATTGTTCATCTGTAAAAGTTATGAAAGATGCTTCCAATCACATTCCATTTTAATTCAGCGTCACACTTGCAGTTTGCAATGTCAGTATGCAGGTATGATCACACATGATAACCTAGAGGTACATTGTACTGTACTCGCGGGACTAGTGCCCCTGGGGCACTATTTTTTAAATGTCCATCACGGATGGGGAACTATTCAAGAGAGGGCACTATTCAAGACTCGGAGGGCACTATTCAAGAGAGGGCACTATTCAAGAGAGGGCACTATTCAAAAGAGGGCACTATTCAAGAGAGGGCACTATTTTTTCAATGCTGGCATATTCTCTTCATCCAACATAAAACAAAGAAAAACAGAGCCTAAACCGTCTACTGTAAACTATCACGGCTCAACAGAAACGGCAACAAGAACTGCCATTTAAATCCTAAAACTACCGGTGCAATGACTTGGACAAGAACGTTGGAAAAGAACGCCAAACTTGGACATGCGCTTGGTTACACGCCGGGGGGGGGGGGCACTATTCAAGAGAGGGCTTTATGTTTTCACTGGCTCTTTGAGACAGGGGCACCATTCGAGATAGGGCACTATTCAAGAGAGGGCTCTAATCGCGTGAGTACGGAGCAAGCACACATGATAATTTCTGTCATGTGTATCTAGTGCTAAGCCGCTGAATGTTTCGGAGGCTGTCTATGCATTCACACAAGAAAACAAACCTCTGCAAGTGGAAATAGATCACATGTACGTGAAGGCTGTTGAAGTAGGACATTCGCACATTGCTACTTTGGTTCCACGAATGTTGTGTAGTGTTATGAATGTGATCATAATGCACTAGCACATTTCATCGTCGAGTTTCATCCCTTGTATCTTTGGTTTTCTTCCTTCTTTCCATGTTGTTTTGTCACTAGTATAACGTGTTGATCACACCTGTTCACAAGTCCACGCTAGCGCTGCATGACTGTAGGATGTGATATGATTCCGAGGGTGTGTGCGTGAAAATGCCCACTTCACTCCTTTGTGTTTATTATCGCTGATCCTCTACTGATGGTTATATCACCTATACATTGTTTAAAGGTTATTGTACTGTTCAGTTTCTTCTTCTGCCTGTATCCACCTGACGAGTAGGCAATGACAGTACAAGTGCCAAGTAGTGGAAACGTTGGAAAGTTCACTGGAAAGAGCCTAAAGCTTTCTTCTTGTGTCCGAAAAGATATATGGCATCTTCTCTTCAAATGAGCTCACTTAACCAAGACCGATGCAGTTTACAAGCACGGCCCAGTGGAATCTGACGGCTGAGACAGTTTATGCGGTGATATAGGTCGGCTGACTGCCACACAATGGAAGATATTTCAAGATTTGACTGCAGATGCCTGGCTGAAAGGTGCCTGGTTGGCGGAGGTGCCGCCGGATATGAGAGTTCAGTTAAAGAGAGGTTCTACCCTACTTCTGAAGCACATCTGAAGTGTGCAATACTAGCAGTAGAGACTTTTAGTGGAAGGAAGAGTGCGATAATGACTGTGTGCACCGCACTCTCATGGATACAGTCATCACTACCTGGTCTTAAAGCAGGGTCCGAGGAACAGTCACTGGCTGACACAGTGTGTGTGAACAGTCAGGGCAGTCGACTTTGGCTGCAGTGAGGCTCAGAACAATCTGGGATACTCTTGTTTGCACATTTCGTGAGTTTACGCATCTCGTTTCTTATTTCATTTCCAGGAAGCCGCCGTATACCTTCTGGAGGGGTTATACAATGACAAGCTAGACTCTCATCCCAATCAGCCGGATGACTTGAGAGCCTATCACTTTGCGCACAGCACGCCGTTCCACGTGCTGGATTTGGTGGCAGGTGTCTTGCTCATGCTGCTGGCAGCGCTGGAAGACCCGGGAGTGGCGGGAATCAGCATACCATACAGGGTGAGCATGACACACACACACACACACACACACACACACACACACACACACACACACACACACACACACACACACACACACACACACACACACACATACACACACGCACCCTCCTCCCCCCCCCCCCCCCCCCCAGTGATGCTGCATGTCCCTTGGCCAGTTCTCTGTAATCGAATTTCACACCTATGAAGTACTGTTGTTCAAGTTATGGTACAGATAGCATCTTTCTGTTTTTGAATAGCTATATTGCACAAGAATAGTACTTGAACTTTGGGCTGGACTAGCAATATTTGATAAAAGTTCGATACAGTGTCCAGAAGGAGCGACCCAACGCAAAGCCGGACTACTGGTAGTTTTACTCATTGATGACATCTTCAAAAATGTTGGGGAGGGATACAGAGAAACTAATAGCTATTTTAAATACTACTCTAGATCTGTACAATTCTAAATGACGTTTCGGCTCTTCATTGAGCTCATTAGGATATAATATAGACACTCGGTGTCTTTCCACTCAGATCCAGATTCTCTTCATAACTATCAGAGTATCTCGTGACTGTCCTCAAAGTAAAATGGGAAGAGGAAGCGCCTACATCACGACGGCTGGGGTAGATATGTCCACCAGCCGTACACGGCGCAGAAAATGCTGGTGTCAGGAAAAACTTCAGTATATGGACGTGGAAAGAGAAAGGAATTATCATGTACATCGTGGAGACGAATAGAGATACACACCGTATATGTCTCCTGCAAACTAAAGCAATACGACTGAGAAAAGAATAATATTCGGAAGACTGTATAACCATATAAAGAGGCCAAGTCATGGCAGTAAGTATAGAACTATAAAAAGAACGAGATGAGACTGCCACTGGATCCACATACATGTAGAACGTACACCATGGTACACAGCACACAGTGTAGCAAGAAATACATACGAGTATGTACTACCAATCCATGCAGATCTCAATGTACAATGGTAGGCTCAGAACTAATAAGTACAAAGTGAAGACGCACACAATATCTACTACATTGCTTAGTTACATAAAAAATTTCACGGTTCACGTGAGACTCGGATGGAAGCCGGGCTTTCCGCATCCGTAGGAACGCCACCACCCTTCAAGGATCAAGGCGCAGATGCAGCTCCTAAAGCGGTGGGAGGTGAGTAGATCAGCTCACCAGCAAGTGGTCAAAGACCGAAAATCCCATTCACTGCATCCATGTTTTCCTCGTGCCAGGCCACGAGTTCCCAATCAACCGTGGGTCGCAGCACGGCTGGAAAAAATCCTTCCGCTTCCAAGCAGGACTTGAACCTGGTACCCTCTATTTCTCAATCACGATCTTAGACCATCACACTATGCCTGCCTGCATACATAGGAGCATTAGTTACATAGAAGCATTAGTTACATAGGAGCTTTGCAAATAATTATGGTTCCAATTTGATTGCTATTTGAGATTTGCGAGTTAAGACAAGACTTACCCTGTCATCCAGGGTCTAAACTCTGGCACGAGGGAAACATGAGGGAAACATGGATGCAGAGAATGGGATTTTCGGTCTTTGACCACTTTGTGGTGGGTCTGATCTACTCACCTCCCACCGCTTAGGAGCTGCATCTGCGCCTTGATCGTAGAGGGTGGTAGCATTCCTGCCTTGATCCTAGAGGGTGGTGGCGTTCCTGCCTTGATCCTAGAGGGTGGTGGCGTTCCTGCCTTGATCCTAGAGGGTGGTGGCGTTCCTGCCTTGATCCTAGAGGGTGGTGGCGTTCCTGCCTTGATCGTAGAGGGTGGTAGCATTCCTGCCTTGATCCTAGAGGGTGGTGGCATTCCTGCCTTGATCCTAGAGGGTGGTGGCGTTCCTGCCTTGATCCTAGAGGGTGGTGGCGTTCCTGCCTTGATCCTAGAGGGTGGTGGCATTCCTGCCTTGATCCTAGAGGGTGGTGGTGTTCCTGCCTTGATCCTAGAGGGTGATGGCGTTCCTGCCTTGATCCTAGAGGGTGGTGGCGTTCCTGCCTTGATCCTAGAGGGTGGTAGCATTCCTGCCTTGATCCTAGAGGGTGGTGGCATTCCTGCCTTGATCCTAGAGGGTGGTAGAATTCCTGCCTTGATCCTAGAGGGTGGTGGCATTCCTGCGGATGCGGACAACTTGGCCTCCAGCCAAGTCTCACACGAACCGTGATTTTTTTACGTAGTCGGTATTATAGTGAAGTTGACCTGAGATAATGGACGCTGACGTTACATAATTCTGCAGCTAGCTGTGCACTATGGATCAACATGACAGGACTTTGTCTTTTCACCTGTCCAGGCATACACGGCCGTCGAGTTATGCCTCCTCCTGTTTCTGTCATTCAACGTCTTCCTACGAGTGCGATGGATAAAAGTGAGAAACTTGAGACGACATCCCAGGATCATCATCAAAGTGAGTGCAAAAATGCCATGCCTCATTAAGTCGAGTGTGTTCAAAGGGTTATAAGCAGACCAACTTCTTACCCTGTGCGAACAACTTCCCCTGTATGAGTGTGCAGTTTCAGATGGATTCACCAGTGAGCTGTAATGCAATGCGAGTTCATCCATTGTGATGTTAGAGTGAGCGCTGCATGCACCATTGACGCTCATCTGTTTCTGTTGTCTTTGCTACTTGCCACTGCTTGCCTGCATGGCGTAGATCGTGATCATATTTGTGATGGTCATCGACGGCCTCGTTGTCTTCGGCCAGAATTTCAATCACATACGCGTGGTCCGTGCCCTGAGACCGTTCATAGTGCTAGACTCGTACTACTTCAAGGGCGTGCGCAGGTAAGCTGTACCGTGCAAGCTACTTGCCAGAGGAACACTATACCTCTCAGGTGGGAATCTTGGAATTTGAATCCTGAATTTGCTGGGAACATTACCATTAGCTTCTCAGAATTGGAACTGGAAGTAACCGCAGCAGCAGCAGCAGCAGCAGCAGCAGCAGCAGCAACACTGCCGCCTAAAGACATCGCAGACTTACGTTAAGATGAATTTCGGATGCCACTAGGCAAGACTACTTTGAAGTAGTTGAGCAATTTTTTCTAGTGTCATGTATTTAGTAATTTTTGTTGTACTGTTGATGTGCTGAAGTGAAGCACACCTACATTATAGTGCAGAATAGATGACATTGCTAGCACTTGTAATAGCACAGTATGTGCAGGCCGTGGCTTTGTGCTCTTTCATTGTACACTGTTTGACGCTGGTTGTACAAAGGTCAGAGGTCACTGAGCTGTGTCAGTGCTGTCATTTGCAACTATCACTGCAGCGGTGTCTGTACACAGATCTTCAGTTGCACCAGGGAGAAGTATTTTATTCTTCCCCGGTTTCACCAGCTAGCACTGTTGCCTATTGTTGCTGACCTGTGGTGTTTTGTGCAGAGTGGCGCGCCAGATTATCCAGGCCATCCCTGCAGTGATGTACATGGTCGTTCTCATTCTCTTTGTCATGGTGCTCTTTTCTGCTTTCGGTGAGAAGTGACAAGCGGGTATAGCAGTTGTACATTGTTTTACATTTCATTTTTAAGTCCACTTCAAATACGCATGTACATGTGGAGTCTTCTTAAGAATACTTTGATTTGGAAAACAAGATGAGGGTTAAAATGTCGCTGATGCGGCTTTCTGAATTCAAAGATGCGCTCTTGGGTTGTTCCTGGTCACGTGTGAAGCTCCCCGTGGATGGGTGCGTGCATGCATGCGCAAGTACGTGTGTGTGAGTGTGCGTGCGTGCGTGCGTGTAAGAGAGAAAGAGAGGGGGGGGGGGGGGGGGGGTGCATGTAAGAAATACTAGGTTTTAAAAGTGTGTGTGTGTGAGTGTGTGTGTGTGTGTGTGTGTGTGTGTGTGTGTGTGTGTGTGTGTGTGTGTGTGTGTGCTAGGAGAATGAGAAAGAGGAGAAAGACGTCTTTCTCCTCTTTCTCATTCTCCTAGCTCTTCTTTCATGCTCCTGGGTTGTTACCAACAGCCAGTGCATGCCGGAGTATGTGGTGTGGTGTGAGTGTGTAAAAATAATGAAAAATGAACAATGAAAAATAGGGATTCACTGGCCAGAAAAAGCCACTTCGATCAGCTGTGTGGTGGATACCAGGCTAGAAAATATTGGCGGTCAATTCATCAGCCTTGCAAGCTGTTGAATGGTGTAATCCCAGCACAAGTTGCAATGTCTAACATAGCTGTTCGCTATCATCGCTTCCGCGATGTGCATGTTTGAGGTCTGAGGTGTGTGTGTGTGTGCCGCGTGTGTGTGTGTGTGCCGCGTGTGTGTGTGCATGTGAGACTGCCAATGTATGCTGCACTGCTATTGACCTGAGCTTTCTATCTTTCTTTTCGCTCGGTGATTATTATTAATTTTGAAATTCATCCATACGCCGAGAGATTAGCAATGCCGTGTTCTCTTTTGATGTGTATTGCTCATGTGCTACACCTGATCGCGAGCAGCTTCTATGGTCGTGGCTCACGATCACGATGATCCGGTAAGGCATCACTTGCTGTTGCCTCGGTGTTGGGACATGTCTCTGTGTGTTTGCATATGTGC